TCGGAAGAAGGATGTGTGTTGGAGATTATTTAATGTTTAGAAGAAATTAAAAGAAGAGGTTGAATTATAATAGAAGTAGCGAAGGCGTAGGGTAGTTTTCACTGCAAAGTGGTTCCGAATTGTCTGAAACGACTCTGCAAATGCCTGCCATGCCCTTTTTAAAGACTACACTCTTCAGTACGGCGAATAAACAGATGCTGTTGCTGTTGCAGTCCCACCCACAACAAAAGAAATCCTCAAACCAAATAAAAACCACAGAACATAACAACAAAACCCCATTCCATTCCCATTTCCATTTCCATTTCTCCATTTTTATTTCAATTTCCTTTCTCCAATGGCTGTTCTTCGCCGCTTTCTATGGCTTCTTCTTGTCTTCTTCATCACCTTTCTGCAATGTTTCTCCATTTCCGATCAGCAACAACTCCCTGTTTTGTCTTCTGTGGAGCGAGACTCTGTTTTTGCTGTTCTTGCCGCCGTCAACTCCGCTGTCCCGTGGCGGAGATTCTTCCCCGATGATCTTTGCTCTGCCGCTCCACACGGCGTCGTTTGTGACTACTTTTATGAATTTCCGAACAGTACGGAGCCTGACGCTGTTCATATCACCGAGTTGAGCTTTGGTTTTATCTCCGACTACTCTGCGAATCCGCCCTGTTCTTCCAATTCTACCATCGACCCAGTTCTTTTCTCCTCCTTTAGATACCTGCGCAAGCTCGTCTTCTACAAGTGCTTCACCTCCGACGTCGCGGTTTATTTATCCGGCGGTGACTCGCCGGCGTTTGCGGCGAGTTTGGAGGAGCTTGTTTTGGTGGATAATCCGTCGTTGGTTGTTTCTCTTGAAAGTCTTTTTGGCAATTTCACAAACATAAGAAGAGCAATCATCACTGGGAATGGCGTTTACGGTGAAATCCCAGAACGGATTTCTGACTCCGGCGAACTGGAAGAAATTACCCTCTCCCGGAACCGTCTCACTGGTCAGATTCCGGCTAGTTTGTCGAAGCTTAAGAAGCTGAAGATTCTCGATCTCAGTCGGAATTTCCTCGACGGATATGTTCCTGAATCCATTGGAAATCTCTCAGAGCTTCTGAAATTGGACTTAAGCTCTAACAGAATCTCCGGCAGAGTTCCGGAAAGCTACCGGAACCTGCAGAAACTGGAGTTTCTAGACTTGAGCTTCAATCGTTTTGGGAATTTCGGGATACCCAAATTTCTATCGGAGATTCCGAGGTTGAAGGAGGTTCATCTGAGCGGCAACTTGCTCGGAGGGGAGATTCCAGAGAAATGGGAGAAGCTTAAGAGGTTGTCCACGGTTGGATTTTCTAGCATGGGATTGACCGGAAAAATTCCTCCATCAATGGCGGTTCATCTGAGAAGTTTAAACTATTTGGGGCTCGACGGTAACAATCTTGAAGGGACATTGCCGCCGGAGTTTGAGATTTTGAAGACATTGAATGGACTCAATGTAGAGAACAACAATCTAAGCGGCAGAGTTCCATTTTCTGCAAATTTCTGTGCAAAACTTGAAGGGAAATTGAGATTAAGAGGGAACCCAGATCTGTGTGTTGATGAAGAGCTCAAGAATGTTAAAAATGGAAGCGTTTTGGGGAAGATCAAACTGTGCCAACAATCAGTCATCACACAGCAGCTTTTTCTCAGTGGGTGTTCTTCGTTCATGCTTGATTCTGTTAAGCTTCAGAGTACTCTGTTAATGGCGGTTTTCTGGATTTTCTTGCTGAAATTTTAGGAGTTTTTGTGGGTTAAGAGTTGGATTAAGGTTAATAGAGAGCTTAAGTTGGGAGATTACACTGACTGAGATGAGTTTGGGAGATTTTTGTGGGTTTTTTTTTTTCCTATTTGTATTTAGGATTTGAATGAGTGACAATGAGAAAAGTGCAAAGTTTGTAATTAAGTTGTAGCAATTTACAGCTTAAATATGCATACAGTGATATAAACATTAATGAGACTCTAATTTTAGTTAGTTTTTTAAGCTTATTATTTTATTTTCATTTTGAATTTTACATGAAAATTTTCTTTTATTCATTACATCGTCACATTAAATTTTATTTTAAAAAGTTGTTTTTAAAAATTCAATAATATATAATAAATTATTGAGAAATAATATCTCAAAATTAGTATCAAAATATTTTAATTTTACTATCCTCAATAAATATTTAGAAAAAAAAATGAAAATAGAAATCATAATAAAATAATAGAATTTTGTCATGCACAATAATTGATATGAATAATAAAAAGTTTTTTTTTTATTTAAATAATTTGAACCGTTTCACCTTAAAGTCTAAATAATGTCATTTATTCGTCGCCCAATTTGATCACCAAACATCCAATAATTTTGCATGCTGCGTGAATATGCATGGGATTGGTCATTTAATGATACATGTGAATAATATTTTATTTATGTTTTCAAATAAATAATGGATAATGATGTGAAATTATTGATTTAAATGCAATAAAATGTTATTATTATAGGCACCAACTTCAATCTATCGAGCTATTGTTTGATGGGTAGGCAATATGGTTATGAACGTGTAGTAATTATATTATTTTTAAATTATTTGTCTACTCCATTCGACTTTTTGATTTGGACGAACTCCATTAAATCTCTCTCATGTCCATACAAAAGTACAATTTATTTGAAACTAAAATTTTAATACTAACTTAATAACAATAATAATAGATAGAGGGCAAAAAAGTAATAACAACAAATAAAAGTACTTTTTGAATTTATACCAATTGAAAGAATAAAAAGAAAAAGGAAAGAAATGACAATATGTTCGACAATAAACATTCCTTAAACCAAAAAAAAAATAAAAAATAAAAAGAGGAAAAACTAAAGAATTAGGCTACCTACTGCTTTAAGTGAACTACATATTACATAATTGCCCCTCTTCCCTTTTCCCTCTTCCCCCAAAAGCTTTTTTTTTTTTTTATAAAGGAAATTATTTATTTTATGTAAAAACCCCATCTCCCGTTAACAAGTCATCGTCGTTGGATCTGGAAATGGCGTCCGACCCGTTATCGGAGAATTGAGATGAACAAATATCCGCCGCCGCACCTTTTGATCTCGATCTCGTCGATCCGTCTTCCTTCGATTTCTTCCGTCGCGCTTTCTTCGGAGCCCCCGACTCGCCGCCATGGGAAAGTTCGGAGCTCCGGTGCGACGGTCTAATGCCATCCGACGTAGACGATTCCTTGGACTTTGAAGATTTCTTTGACCTTGTCTTCTCCGATTTCTCCCTTGTCGGAGAATCCCCCGCACTGCCGCCGACAGTTGATGACTGTCTTCTCGATGCTTTTGGTATCTCCGGCATATCCCGAGCCGTGTGGTTCGTATCTGCCATATTACTTCTTGAATGTCTCCGGAATCCATTACAGCAATTAATTTCCCCACACAAAGGGTGAAAAAATTTTATAATAAAACCCAAAACATATATTTTTTAATTAAAAAATTCATTTAAAATTGCGTAAACATTATGAAACTAGAAAGAAAAATTTAGTAAAGAACATAAAAAAATACAAAAAAAAAAAAAAGCAAATAAATGATACCTTGAGAAGCTAATTGGCCAGAGGCATCTCCAGGATCACCTTTGAATTCAGTCATCTGCATTCACTTGCTCGTAAGAACACCATACAAATTAATTATAAATTATAAAAATTAAAAAATTAAAAATGAAAGAAAATTTAATGAATAATTATGTATATATATTTTAAGATATAAGATTTATTTATTGATATATATATATATATATATGTATATATGGATATACCCAGCTTGGAGAATTGACTGAAGGACCATCCCATCCAATATGGGCAACATGTTTGACATCTGTGGGTACACCAATCTGCATTTCAGGTTCTTTCTCATTATCTGCAAAAATTCAGGTTTTTTTATTGTTATTTTTATGAGAGAAAGAAGGGGGGAAATGGGTTTTTTTCAAATTTTAAATTTTATTTGCTTACCAAATATTTGAGAAATGTATCTGAGGCCTTTGAGGAGGCCTTTCATTTTATTGTTATTAGACATTATTGTGGAGGACTGAGGTGATCTGCTTTGGTCTGTGCTTTTGGGGAAGAAGATTGGATCAAATCAAAGCTTTGGGAGCTTCAAAAGTGAGCCAAAGTGGGAAGAAAAGGGCTCAAAATGAAAGAATGGAACCCCAAATGGAGGCCGAAATGAGGCAAAAAAGCATGGAAATTAGCCATGAAATCAAATGAGCATGAGAGTAGGGAGGAGGAGGAGGAGGAGGAGGAGGAGGAGGAGGAGGAGGAGGAGGAGGAGAAGAAGAAGAAGAAGAAGAAGAAGAATTAAAGAGGATGAGTTGTCTGAAGGAATGGATACCAATTACACCAAAAACAATATATGTTGAAACCAAAGGCGTGGTTGATTTCGTTCATTTGGTGGGTTTCAATTGGTTTGAATTTTGGCCACAAATTTTTCGGAACGTTAGGGATAAAATTAGGAAAGTTTTTTAGAGGTCTTCCTCTCGTCTCACTCTCAAATGTTGTTTTCGTCTTTCCTTTCTTTCATTTTTTACTCAAATTTCTACACCTACACCTTCTTTTGTGGTTCAACACCAATGACTCGTTTCCATTCTTCAATATACAATTCACCGAACAATATTACACAGCCTCTGTTTTTGGTTCACTTTGTTTCATACCAAAATTTGATGTTCATTTTTGTCCTCCTTTTCTCTCCCATAAATTTGAAGGGGTTAATATGGATGATTTATTATGAACAAATCCAAATGCTGATGCCTTTTCTATGAATTTCAAGATAATTGATACACACATTTGTCCTTGATGAATCTTCCTAAATAATGAGTAAAAAATGTGGCCAAGGATTGAAGTACTATACAACTTTCAATCTCAACTTCCAGTTTCATCCTGGAAAAGGAAGAAGGCATTTTTCAATTCAGAATCTCGGAAATTGTCTGATTTTCAATCCCACTACACAGAATTTAATTAAAAAAATGGAGAGGGGAACATTTAAGGAACAGATTTTTTGAGGTATTGAATCTCGTATTCCAGCCAAGTGGGTGCACAAAGATTTTTGTTCGTGAATAATATTTATAAGCACACTAGAAAACTATAGAAACAACTGAGAGATAGAGATGGGTCTGGAAAAGAAGTACGTGAAAGGAAAATACAGTTATTATTACATCTGCTTGAATCACAAGTAGAAATGTTCAGCTTGAATCTCTGCATCTGGGGTCGGATCTAAAAACACGATACAACGGCAGCAAACTCTTCGGAGGGATTTTGTGTCTTATAAGATGTGTCGACTGACCTGTAATGTTCATTTCGTGGTTGAGTTGGGCGATGTCCAATGTACAAGAGAGAACTAAATGATGCAAATAATTGCAAGTGCAAGGGATTTATCCCTCTGATGCAAAATGCAAATTGCCTCTTGATGAAAATCTTCTTGTTACTTGTTACTTCCTGATTGACAGAAGTTCAAAGCTCCGGAGAGGATCGTCACGACCGCTTTTTGTTGATTGTCGAATAAATGAGGTTGGTTTTGTCTCGTGAGAAGAATGAAGTCTCTGTGTGGTAGAGGGGCGCCCAGTGCTGGAAACAAGTCGACGACCCTCACCACTGTGATCACCAGAAGAACCAGGCTTGCTGTTTGTAATTATAGCTCTTCTTGAGGAGCTTCCATATCGAGAAGAACCACGTGCTCGGTCAGGATCAGGAAGCTGAAACCAAGGGTAGGAATAAATTCAAGTGGAAAGTTAATGTAACAACTCGTCTACAAATACAAGGACAATAATCACAGCAACATTAAGGGAAGAAAGGTCATCTATGTAGTACTACCCTACAAATTTACCACTAAGGTCATCTGAATTTGGTTGTCAGAAAAATCCAAGGACAATAATCACATCCAAGCAAAACAAAACTATGCAAACACTTCAGCGATTTTTACTCTCATGAATGTGAACTGAATGGCTTAATCATCTAATGCAAGAGAAGGAACATACATTAAAAACATTTTTAGTTCAATTCAATGAAGATAATTTACCACATCCTCGTGAGCCTTTTGTTTAGGATGATCAACATGTGGACTGGAACCAGAGACATTCCTCCTGGAAAATACTTCAACTGCACCTGACAATCTTTCTCGGATCTCTTTCCCAACTTTAACAAACAATACCAAGTGATAAGTTATACGTTCAACACTAAAGTGCACCTATATTTTCGAAAAATTATGTTCCATAGTCCTTAAAAATAATTTTTTTCTAAGTAGGGAAATGTCAAGGAAGCAGACCTGAGGTTCTCTCTGGCCTTTCTGCAGATGGTCCTGCAGTAAGTGCAGCTTTTCCACTTGACTGCTACAAATGGAACCAGAAACCAAAATAACAAATCCAATAAAAAAAAAGAAAAAAAAAATATATATATATATATATACACACACAAAAGGAAAAAGAATGCAAGTATTTACTCGTCCTCTGGAACTGCTGCCACCACTTTGAGGGTGGTGCTTCAGTATAGTCCAGTCAAACACATAATCAAATTGATAGCCTGAAAGGATATTCATAACCTACTGAGAAATCCTTATTCAACGCTGAGAAGTAAAATGGATAACAAAAAAAGGAGACAAAAAAGCCTCAAAACAGCGCTTTAAATAACAAAAAATTTCTAATTGAAGAATTCAGATGAATTATTATACAAAAACACAGGTAAAGGCCTATGAAGAGGAATGACAGAAAATGGCTCCACTTGAGGGAGAAAAAGAAACCTTGAACCCAAGGCCTTAAAAGAGGGCTATAGAAACAAATATTGCAAATATAATGTTAGGAGTATTGAGATCAAGTACAACGAGTTACCTTCTCGTATGAATAAATCGCGAAAAAGTCGCTTTAAATATGAATAATCTGGCTTGTCCTCAAATCTCAGTGATCGACAGTAATGGAAATAAGATACAAACTCAGGTGGATGTGATTTGCAAAGCACCTATAAAATATAATTACAATGGATTTGTACAACAGCAGCATAGAGACTAATTGCCCATAAAAGAGAAGTATGTTCTATGGTGAGGTAATGTTCAGTTGCAAGGAATGAACAAAAGGTTAGTAAAGAATATATATAAGATATAATATTATTATAGTGTTTGCTCATCAACATTTTTATTCCTATTGTGTGGTGGTGGGGGTAGGGGGCATTGTCATTTGATCTTAATAATTCTTTTTGGGTTATTAAAAACTACTCATGTAAGAAATACTAACTAATTATTTTAAATAAAATTAACATTAATTAATAGTAATTACTATTTAAATAATAATAACTTAATACTTGCAAATAAAACCATCATTGTTACCAATTTGATAATTCTAATTGAATGTTACACATGTGAGCACATATGCAGTATGTGATTTTCTTTTAGATTCTCTGGGGTACCTCAATAGGAGTCGACATTTTCTTTTCACTGATTTTGTCATACTTTTGCTTCTTCGTGCCTGCCTTAAGCCCCTGCCAGGGAAGGCTGAAACAGAAATTTTAGAAGTCATTATATGAAAACAAAAAGCAAGATGAGGCAGAATTCATGAAATAATTGAGCGCCTTGAGAGTATTCTTTAGGAGTTCAGTAGACCAACCTTCCTCTTAGGAAATACATAAGCACATAACCAAGAGACTCTAGGTCATCCCTTCTACTTTGCTCTGCCCATAAAAGAAGCATAATATTATTAAAAATATCTTGAGGCATTTACAAAGTTTTGAACTCTAGTTCCTTCCAAGACTACTCACCAATTCCTAGGTGAGTGCTAACACTAGCATAGCGAGCTGTGCCAGTAAGGTTCTTGTTCTCCCTGAAAAATAGGTGAAAAGACCGTAAAGATTCTAGTACATAGATACCTCACTTATCTCAATCTTCTAAGAACTAGCCAATTTTGAACAAAACATATACAGATCTTGCCATATCGCAAATAGAACCATAATTTCTCAGAACAGTATCAACCTGTATGGTATATGCTTATGAGTCTGCAGATCTCTATACTTCTTTGCGAGGCCATAGTCAATGACATATACCTGTAACAGCATAATTCAACAAAACACAGATTAGAAAAAACTACTAACTGTAATTGCAACTACTAGGCTGTAACAAAAAATAATAAAAATATCACTATACTTCATCATAACTATATTAGATACAATGGAAAAATATAAAACTTTGTTCCTTTGAAATCATTTTAAACCATATTATCCGGAATTTCTATAACTCGAAATTGAATCACTATAAGACCAGAACCTAATAAAATTTCCCTTAAATAGGGCATAGAGAATCACATAAAACTACACAAGAGCACTACCTGATTGGCTTTCCGCCCAAGTCCCATTAAGAAGTTGTCGGGTTTTATGTCACGATGGAGAAAACCTCTTGAGTGCATGTACTCAACCCTGTTAATCTGAAAGTTACAATAAATAGAGAGGGAGTTAATTAGTTTCACCATCCAACAAATGCTCGTGTATACGATACAAAAGTAGCTCTGTGCACTTACTAATTGATCTGCAAGCATCAAGACAGTTTTCAATGTAAACTTTCTATTACAGTAGTTAAATAAATCTTCCAAACTTGGCCCAAGAAGATCGATCACCATAATGTTGTAATCACTCTCAACTCCAAACCACTTCAGGTGGGGTATTCCCGCTTCATCAATAAAATATAGAATTTAGTAACATCGTAAAAGCTCTTATTAAAAAAAATGATGACCCCTGGTACTAGTACCAAGAACATCTAACTGTCCCCTGGTATCTTCCACCAGCACATTATGCAAACTACATATTGCAACGCCACATATATCTTTACTTCCCCAGTACTTAGACAATTAGACAGCCAACCTACGGTTTGTACACCATCTAATCATCAGAGAGAAAAAGAGAGAGAGAGACTCACTTCCTCCTTGAAGAAGCATATACAATTTGGACTCATAATGAAGCTGAGGATGCTTGGTTTTCACAGGTTCCTGAAATTAAAAAAAAAAATAATAATAACTGGGCTTAGAAGATGGTTATAACTGACGCTTCATATAATATGATCAAAAGACCTTTATAGCTAACAGCAATATTATCACAAGAAAAAATCAATGGTGAAATTGATGCAGCAACTACTACTAATGGAAGGTAAGCGGTTAGTTGAAAGCAAAATAAAAATGGTGAGTATTCTTCCATTCAAGACCCAGTCACATACTAGTTTGACTGCAACCTCCTCCCCAGTTTGCACATTAACAGCTGCCATAATAAACAAAACAAACGAATCATCACCACGCTTGCTAAATATACAAAAGTTACAAAAGAAAACAAAACAAGAGAAACCATTCTGAGACACACCTAAATAGAGCTCTCCAAAAGACCCACTCCCAATCTTCCTCCCGAGCTTGAACTTCCCCCCAATCACATGGTCCATGATCCAATTCTTTAATCAAAGTCCACCCAGAAACTAAATGCGACAACACCAACCCAGATTCACCTCAAATCGTCGCCTACACGAGCATGATCCTTTCCCCGGCAGCTAATTCCACTGCTAACGACTTCAGCAGATTAGAGATAAAGCTCCAGGGAGACCCTCGCTCAGCAATCAAATTGAAGAACAAGAAACTCCCCTAGATTTCTATAGACGATGATGATACTGAAAGAACGTTATCAAAATCAAAACTACTCAAAGAAGAGCATCCTATTCAACTACATGTTTTAAGAATAGGACCCCATTAGATACTCAACCTCAGATGGTGAATTGAAACCCTAGTTTGAAGGAAACCAAGCTACATTGACCGGAAAATAAATATTAAATGAAAATCTGTCTTGAAAGATGAAATTGAGAAAAAAAAAATTAATGGACGAAAGGGACAAACAGTAATCGAAGAAGATGGGTTCGGATCAGAAATGGATGACAGAAAATTTAGGGGAAGAAAATTTATATATTGAGAGAGAAAGAAAGAAAGAAGATGAAAAAATATAAAGAAAAAGGAAAAAAAAAGAAAAGAAAGAGGAGTGGATGAAACCAGAAAATCGTCGCTACGAAGAATAAGAAGGAGAAAGAGGTCGGGCGGCCGATATATTTCTCCCTCTTCTCCTCTCTTTTCCCCTTCCTCTTCTCTCAACTCTTTTTCTTTATTATTATTATTATTTTATTTTTGCAGAACAGACTACTGCTTTATTAATTGACTTTTTTTTATTACTATTTTAGCCCCTCGGTGTTATTATTGTTATTTTTTTCTAATCTTACTTTAATTAGTATGTAATAAGTTCTTTTAGTGTCATATGATTATTTATATTCAAATTTAATTCAACTCTTTTATATAATTATTGTCGTATTAGACACCATGATATCCGATCCTTCACTTACAATATTTCTTTCTTTTTTTTAAATGTATTTTTTAAGTTTAGATAACATAAAATTGAAAAATTTTGTGACCCATAGGTGGTTTAAAGTTGGTAGAATTGTTTAATTTAATAGTTTTTAAGGATTAAAGATGTATATATATTTAAAAATAGTTTTATGATGTGAAATTAATGGAGGGTATATTGGTAAATTAGTAAATGGAGTGCCGCGCCGAACACGTTTGTGCTGTCGATTGAATGGAAAGATAGAGCCCACATTGCAGTTTGTTACAGAGAAACGTGCTTCGCCTTGGCCCCAGCCGGCAACCATCTCTTCTTTATTTCTTTCAAAAGCCGAATTGTACACAGAGTAGAGTTTCTAATATTTAATTTTCCATCTACTCCCTCTTTTCTCTATTATTTTCAATCTACCCCTCTTCCTTTCTTATTATTAGCTTGGTACAAATTAGAAGTTCAAACTCGACTCAAGCACAACTTAAACTTAACTCTAAATGGTTCGGTTCAACTTATTTTTTCATTAAAATGGATAGATCATCGTAATAAAAATTCGACTAACTTGTGACTAGTCTATTAGACTATGTTTAAATCAGTCGAATGAGATTATTTTTTAAAACACAAATGTGGATATGTAGATTTTGTTTGTCACAAAAAAGTGTTAAAAACTAAACTATATAAATTTAAATGCTAACTGAAAATTTATATTATCGATAAATTTATAAAATGAAAGTAATAAAGAATATAAATAAATTTAGCGAATCGACCCAAATTTTGATTCAATGAGGTAAGTCCAATGGTTAGATCGTGGCCTAGCGATCGAACATTGGTTAGCATGATTCAAGCTCTAATGGTATTTTTGACCCATTGTACTTAGACTTGGGTCAAGTTTGAATCTTCATTTTGTAAGATCGAATTGTGGCAATGTGATCTATGAACGTGGACGATGCATGAAATCAATTTTGTCCATAGCAAATTTTGATTTTTTCATAAATGTCCTATTTGTGTCCAACTGTATCAACAAACACGACAATTGAAACGTGTATATTGTTTTTTTTTAATGAATTTTAGGTTTTTTTTTGTATGACATTATTTATTTTTTTAGAAGTTATGGATACAAAAATATAAATTTTCAATATTTTAGATAATTGTTTTTATTTTGAAACAATATATTTAACTAAATATATTTTATTTGGTGCAATTTAAATTTACATTACATGAATTTTGGCATTTAATTATTTAATGTTATATTTGTCATCGTTTCTATGTATATATGTGTGGTTGATATGTGAATTAAAAGAAAAGTCAGGTTAATTAAATAAAAAAATTTAAAATTGAATAGACATAAAATTGAAAATTTGAAAATGATTAAACTTTAAATTTATTAGACCATTTTTTTTAAATTACAAAATAAATAAACGTAACCCTAAAATTTTAGAATTCGTAATTTACAAAACTGATATGGATTGAATTTTCTGGCGCGCACATGCGCACATTAGCCACAAAAGAAACCGTGCATCTGAAGTTTTATTTCTGGTCAGAGCGACAATCGGTCGATAACATTAAATCAGTCGGAGGCGGTGCCGGACCTGCATTTCGGTTTCACGGATCCCGTGACCTCCCGTTGCACGGTAAAGAAATCGGATTCATTCGTTCATCTTCCGTTTCGCTATTCAAGAGAAAAAGAATTCTCAATCCAGAGATTGCTGCATTCTATCTTGCGTACGACCTTTTGTTCCAAAGCCGTTTTTGTTTGTTTTAATTGATGTTAGTTCTCGTTTGGTTGCTTCACAGCGCTTCAATTTAGTTTTCAGATTGTTCTGATTGATCGGATTAAACACTTGTGAATAAAATTAAGGGAGTTATTTTCTTCTTGTGTTCTAATTTTGCATGAACAGGTCGGGTGTGGAGCTTCATCGACTGTGGGACTGAATGTTGAATTTGATGCAGTTTAGTTTTGTTTGGTAGGTTTTCGTTTTGGATGCATGATGCAATGTGTAGAGTGAACCTACGTGTTTGATTCGATGGAGGAAGAGGAGGATCGGATTTTTCTGAACAGCTTGGGTGTGACATCTGCTAATCCGGAGGATATAGAGCGGGACTTGTTAGAGAAGGTATTGCCTGAATTCTTTACTTATGATACTTATCGCGTAAGTTTTTGTTTGTAGCGTGTAATTATTTTACTGTTTAGGTTCATAATGGTTTTGTCTATTTGGATTAGCTTTTTGTGTGTAGCGTGTAATTATTTTACTGTTTAGGAACATTAATGTCGGGTATTCATGTAAAACACCTGAAACTGAACTCAGTCTGCAATTCGCAAGTGTCAACAAGAAATCAGATATAAACTAGTAGCAGTTAACACCATCGAATGATTTGTTTTTGAATTGCAGGCAAAAAAGAATGTTGAGGATGGTGCTGAAACTGGAGGGTTTGCAGAAGAGAACACTGGTGGTAAGTTAGGTAGCGCTGCCTCATCTTCTGCCAGTCATGTGCAGCTCTATCAGAAGCTTAGGGCTGTAGAATATGAGATAGGCGCTGTTGCGTCAACAGTGGAACCGGTGAAAAAACTTGAAAGAAATGAAAAACATTCTCACGTGGGCACTGACTCTCATGAGCATGGGCGTGAAGAGGATGGTGTTTCAGCTTCTGCGGATGACCTTCAGCATGCCCTAGCAGTTGACAGACTAACAAGCCTGAAGAAAACCCAACAGCAGTTGAAGAAAGAGCTTTCCCATTTGAATGACAAGCACGCTGAGACAATATTGGAGATAGTAAAGGACAAATCAAAACCTAAGAGAAAGTCTAAAGAGGTTAAGAAATCAGGAAACAACGGAGAAAAGAGGTTGAAGGTCGTGTCATTTGATGAAGATGACGATTTTGATGCAGCTTTGGATGCAGCCACTGTGGGCTTTGTTGAAACAGTGAGTTTAGCTGTTTTCAAATGCCGTACTCTGTAAGATGTGTAACAAGTCTTCTGTACCTGTAAACTGAAAAAGCTTTTTACAATTGACATTGAAAAAAAAAAGAAAAAGTTATGCAGTAGGGGAGTAACTTTGCATTCTTTGTCTTAGGAAAGAGATGAATTGGTACGGAAGGGAATTTTAACACCATTTCACAAGCTAAAGGGCTTTGAACGCCGTCTTCAGAACCCAGGGCAATCAAGATTTCAGAACCTTGGGCAATCAAGACGTGAAGTAAAGGAGGAAGAAGAGGAAAATGATGACTTTGCTTCTGACAGTGTTGCTAGAGCCATCCATTCAATGTCAGTGGCTGCACAAGCTCGGCCAACCACTAAATTACTTGGTCTAGAAGCTTTGCCAAAGCTTGATCCACCAACTCGTCCTTTCTACAGGTTAAAAAAGTATGCAAAGGTTCCTCTATCTGCAGAAGAAAAAGCTGCCAAGAAAATAAAAGGCAAAAAGACTAGACGGCCTTTGCCAGACAAAAAATATAGGAGACGAATTGCTCTGGAGGAAAGAGATGAGGAAGCTACTGGTATGTCTCTTATTTAACATGTGGTTGTTCTACAGCTTATTTCTTCAAGTTCACGCTGCAGTTGCTTTGATTCTATTGTTGGCAGCCGTCTCTTTTACATGATGTTAACGTCTAAAATCTAATAATGTCTGTCAATTGTTCATACTGAGTATGCTTTTCTAACCTCTGTTCTGGTTGCTATCTTCTCTGTGATCTAAGAAGGTCACGTTTGTTGTCGTTTTGCAATTAGAGTACAATAAGGCTACGATTGAAGCCTTGAAGATTGAATATGTTTAATTGGCTTATAGCCTGTGAATGCAAATAATACTTATAACTCAGGGTTTTTTTTTTCTTTCTAAATTTCTATTTCCCTTTTTGATTTAGGACTTGTCCTTAAGTTCATTCTGCCTAGTTGTCAAAGATGGGTATTAAATAGTATATTTCTAAATGATGCAGACGAACGAATGGTTTTATCAGGTAGGTATATGATAGTAATCATCTGTAAATGAATTAGTTGGTGTTGTCAAGTCCTTTTAGCCACATATTCAGATGCTTGCAAACTGCGAGAAAAATTTCTTAGGTGTCTCTATGGAATTTTGTTAGTTGAGAAAATTTACTTCATGTTGTAATTTTTAATAATCAAATGCAAGAACTCATGCTTTTACCACCATGTAAGTTGCTTGAAAATTTCTTACATATTTAGCTTAGAATTTGTTATTTATGTTGCAGAGAATCTGTCAGATGGTTTGCTTACATCAAGTTCTGAAAGAGAAGATTCTGGAGATTTAGAAGATGATGTTCCAGAACCTTCTTCCGTAACACTTGATGGTGGGCTGAAAATTCCTCGGAGCATATTTGATCAGCTCTTTGATTACCAAAAAGTTGGGGTGCAGTGGTTATGGGAATTACACTGCCAAAGGGCAGGTGGAATTATTGGAGATGAGATGGGCCTAGGGAAGACGGTCCAGGTATTGGCATTTTTAGGTGCATTACATTTCAGTAACATGTATAAACCAAGCATCATGATTTGCCCTGTTACACTAGTTAGACAGTGGAAAAGGGAGGCACGGAAGTGGTGCCCAGGCTTTCTGGTGGAAATTCTACATGATTCTGCTCATGATCCCTCTTGTAGGAAGATGCGAGAAAAATCTGATGAAAGTGATGATAGCAAAGATTCCGAGGAAAGTGATTATAGGAAAAACTTACTGTGCAAAGGCACAAAAAAATGGGATTCCTTGATAAACCGTGTTTTGAGGTCAGAATCTGGTTTGCTCATTACAACTTATGAACAACTACGACTGTTA